CCGCAGGAGATCGCCCTGGATCCGCCTGTGCCACCAAAAGAACTCAGAATCAGTTTGTATGCTAATTTTATTTACGGACACCATCGGATAGAAAGATCTGTCTGTCAAGTAGCTTTCAGATGATCCTTACATCATGCTTTTTGAGCAACTAGCAATCTAAACACGTGCTGCCTCAGGTCACGATATTGAGTGTCGAGCAAGGCTACGCAGAGGTCGAGAAAGAAGATGGCAGCAAAGGTTACGTGCCCACCTATTTCCTGGATTTGGACACCGTGCCTGGTGATAACTTTGGAGACCAAATACGGTTTGTTTGTTTTTTGGCCTGTTCCCTCCATTTACCAGAAGAAAATTTCATTTCGTCGTGTAAGCGTGAAAAAAACTTTGTGACCTGAGGTTGGTTTAGGTCTTTCAGCCGTAGGTTTTTATTTAATTTTTCAGTCGCTGTGACCGCTGTACTGAATTTTGTCAAATTTTGAGATGATTATTCAAATAATAACTAGAAAGGTTGAACTGTTTGCATCTGAAGTCGACTTTCAACTGTCTTAGTTTTGCCTAAATACTTTTAGTGCGCAATTAGCGCTAAATAACTGCGTGTTAATTTTTTTTTTTTTTACTGGTACAGTTCTAAATCTCTACGTGCTGATACTAAAATTTTTCGCGTTTTTTTTTTTTCGTGTTGGATAATCCTAGCTCGATTTGGTGCTCTTTTGTTAGCTTTTTTGACTTTATCAAATTCAACTTGCAGTAATCCCAACAAAATCCATTACACGCCTTTTCCAGATTTCTCTTTCAGATATCGTCGTAAATGGTACCGTCTACTGGATAATGCTGAAGCGGCCACTTATGAAGATAATCCATCAAATTTACTAGACAACATTGGTTACCTAACTGCTTTAACATCATTCTTCCCGACGGCAGAATCCGAGCAACGAAATGTGCGCGCATTGAGCTCGCCGAGAGATCACAAACGGCCAATATGCATCGAGCCACTGCAGGATATGACGACGAAAGTTAATGAAAAAATCATTTTGCAGTGCAAATTTTACTCGGAAGAAGCGTATACAGTCATATGGAAGGGGCCAGCAATCGCTGCCGGACGCTCTTATGACGTAAGGGTAAGTAGTTATAAAATACCTTTTTATACGTTTCTTTTTTCCAGCAATCACTCATAGTCACTACTGTCGTTGTTATTCAGAAATTATTGATCATCCTCTGAAATTAGCACCTGATAGAGTTTGTTTCAGACAGACAAAGATGGGCATTCAATACTGACATTAAGAAATTGTCTGGAGGAAGATGCGGGTCAGTACTGGGCCCAAGCCAAAAACGTCTTCGGCAAGTGCCATTCAGTAGCCTGGATAGCTGTTATTACAGAACCGGGCTGCGCACATATTACTCTGTGCAAAGCTCTTCATCGCACAGCAGTTCTCTTACAGTGGAAACGTGTAAAATCTGGGAATTCAAAAAACGTTTTTTATGCCGTGCAATATAAACGGAAAGGTATATTACATATTACTTTGAAATTTTAGCCATTATGTTGCCACTGGAATCTGAAGAGAGAGATGAGTGATGAATTTTAAAAATCCTTTAGGTTTTACTCTCTTAAATACCTTCAGAAGATTTTTTTTCTAAGCTGACCTGCAAATTGCTAAAAAATCGGAGTTGCGTGACATCTTGATGTATTCTTAACAAATTCAGGCTGGAACGCACCAGGCGGGCCGGTGCAATCATACGTTTTTGTACTGTCTCGTGCTCTAGTAAGATTGCAAGAAATCACAATAGCTAGAACTTCTGACATACTGGTCCTTAAAGTTTATGAAGTTAACCTGTGTGGCATGTCAGTTGTAGATGTCGGCTTCAGTGATCCA